CCCCAAAACCCCAAAACCCCAAAACCCCAAAACCCCAAAACCCCACTGGCAAGATGCTTGCTGGAAAACATGATATGATAAAAGTAATAAATACATTTGAATATAAATAAAACAATTTAAGAAATTGAATATGGCATTTAGATAAACCACTTTCAACCCAGGCTAATCGCAGTAATTTAGAGTATCTGGCTAGGTGTAGAGCGGAGCCAAGGCTCAACTGAACATGCCCTAGATGGAGGAGAATCTTGCTCGTGAAATGGCTAGAATGAAGATGGAGAGAGAGAAGCAATCTAGAATAGTCGAGAAGATTTGCGTTGAGAGTGATGAGCTAAAATAACTGTAGGCTAAGATCAAAGCTGCCTATCTTAATAAGGATAGAGCCTCTCAGGTGACTGAAAATTAATTCAGAAAACAAATTGACTTGGTAAGCATCATATTCGCTTTTCTGTTTCCACTTAGAAATTTCATCCGTTATTGACTATTATTGTAGGAATAAGATGCTTCAATGGAAAAAGAAATGCTTAAAATAAAGGAGATTGAAGAGAGAATGCAAAGGGAAAGAGAAGAAGAGAGAAGAAAGGCAAATATCTAATAAAAATACAATCTCTAGGAGTAAATGTAATTAAAAGAGCAGTTAAGGAGAGAGGCATACGAAGAGTACATTAGAGAAAAGGATTAAGTTGATCGTGTTATCAATAAAATGATTGAAGAGGACTAGAAATTATAATAGCTAACTAGAATGAAATAAGACTAGGCTAAGTTAGATATGATTCAGTCAGTTAATGAGAAAAAGGAAATGCAAAGACGTCAGAAGGAACTCGAGGAATATGAGAACGAATTGCTTATGAGGTTTGCAGAGTAGCAATAATACCGTGAGGATGAAATTAGATAAAAGAAGGCTGAGATGGAAGCAGCCCGTGAGGAGATTTTCTAAAAACTCAAGGATGAGGAGGAAAGACGTAGAGCTGAAAAGGAGTACATTGAAAACCTCAGAAATGAGCTTTACCTTCAAGAATTCGAAGAACAGGCAAGGGAGAAGGAAAGATAGGAGGCTGAAAAGAGAGAGAGAATCAAGTAGGAATTGCTCGCAGCCAAAGAGTATCAAAAGAGGTTGAAGGAGGAGAGACTTGCCGAAGAGAAGAGAATGGAAGACGAGTTCAAGAGAAAGCTAATGGAGAAGTTCGCTGAAGACGAGAGGCTCGAGTAGATGAATGCCTAGAAGAGAAGAATGAGAGAACAAGAACACAAAAGAGAAATAGAAAGATTATGGCAAGAGAAGTTAGAAGTTTACAGAGCTCAAAGAGAAATCGAATTAGAGGAAAAGAGAGTTCAAGAAGAAGAGGAGAGAAGAAAGAAGGCTATCGTAGAAATGGAGAAGGAAAGACTCCTTAGAGAGCATGGATAGATACTCTCGCAATATCACCCTAAGGCTGCCACAAACTATGCTAACGGTTTTAGATAATAATGATAAAAGCTCCCTATATAATTTACACTAATATTTTAAGATTTCTTATCATATTGGCAGATGCCATTCGATTTAGGGGTTTTGGGGTTTTGGGGTTTTGGGG